AATTAGACACTACGGACAGGAGATCCAAACCACACCAGATCTGACACACAGCTTGGTACAAAGCGCAAGCTTTGTTTTCCTTATTTACAGTTTGTTTATTTTGTCCTTCTCTCTGGTGCCTTTTATCTAACCTTTTACAATCATTCCTCACAGCATTCCCCCTCCTTTCTCCTCTCCTCCCTGCGCTCCTTCTCATAAAAGAACTTTTGAACCCTTTTATTTACTCCCATCTCTTCTCAATTGCTTACCTAACCATGCTGTGCTCTGTTTTGTCTAGCAGAGACTGGCGGAGCGAGCTTTTAGATCATTTCAAATCTTCTAATTCTCCTCTCCCTCCTGTCTCAATCTTCCTTTTTAACTTTTTTAGAACACCATTCTTATAGAATTTCATTGTCTTCAGTGCCACACAACTCTTGTATCAAATGGCAACTGTGTACAGTAGGCATGGTTAGGTTCCACCGGAATCTTCAGAATGCAGAATAAATTCGGAAAAATTACCTTTTTGAAGCGATTTTGAACTTTTTTAGGAAACTGGAAGTCCCTTTGCCCTTTCGAAGCTAGTCTCGCCATTTTTCTTCTGACTCAGGAAGAGAGTCAGAAGTGACTCAGTGTTTGTAGACAAGCAGCTTGCATGCTGGGATACTTGCATACCAGCTGCGGCGAGGGAGAGAGACTATTTCCTTATTAAAAACCTCTATGCTGCCTTATACTGATTCAGTTTCTTCTTTTATATTGGCTGAGACTTTCTGTGTGCTGTTAAACCTTTGTGCTTTATGTCACAGGCAATGAGACACTCTTGTGTATAACCAAGTAACACAGTTTATTTATAACTTCTGGCTCCAAAGCTTGTGGTTACATTTGTGTTTTGTTGCAATCGAGACTTACAGTCAATATCATTTACTTGGTTTACTTTTCTGAATAAACTTTCAATGTTTCACATTCACAAACATGTTACTTGCATTACACACTCTTGTCTGAATTATATTCTGACTCAGGCAACACTAGCCTTCTTTATGTTCCTTAAAACTCGAGCTCTATTTAACTAACTGCTTCTCTATATGAGAAGTCTTTAACACATCTTCATAACTGCTTATTTCTAACAGGCACTCAAAAACCAACTCTCCTCTTCACACACAGATTCCTAACTGTCATTTTCAACTCTTTCACTCTAACTCCCTCTTTCAAAAAACCTTGGCTCCGCCCTCTTTAGAATGTTCAGCTCTGCTCTCCCCAACTGTCATTTTGGCTAGGGCTGGGTAACCACAGAAAAATTTGGTTCTAGACTCGATTCGTTTCCAGGGGGCGCTAGCATTTCCAAATTCTAAATACTTCCGAAATTTTGAGATTTCAAAATTTCGTTATTTACGAAATTTTGTTAATTTTGAATCAATTCGTTAATGGCGGACGAGATTGCGCAATATGCTAAAAAAACCTCCAAATGGGACAGGAGGAACTTCTGAAGCTTCCCTCTCCCTCTGTTGTTGACTGTTGGTGTGATAAAACAAACAACAACTATAAAACTTGCACCAGACATGTGAAAATAATTACGAAATAATTACGAAATAATTACGAAATAATTACGAAACAATTACGAAACAATTACAAAATAAATTGAAAAAATTGTTTCGAATCTAATTTACTCCTCACACTACTCCTGCATGGCTCAATATTGGATCGTAAGCTAATTTAAATACGAAATTAATGAACAAAACCGCCCAGGCCTAATATATATATATATATATATATATATATACACACACACACACACACACACACACACACACACACATCTATGTATATATACACACAAAACACATACACAGAAAGGGGGAAAGAAGGAAAGAAAGAGAGAAGGAGGGAGAGAAGGAGGCAAAGAAGGAGGGAAGGAGAGAAAGAAGGAAAGAAAGAAGGGTGGAGAAGGAAGGAGCGAAAAAAGAGGGAAAGAAGAAGGAAGAAGGAGGGAAAGAAGGAAGGAAGGAGAGAAGGAGGAAGAGAAAGAGAGAAAGAAAGAGGGAAAGAGGAAAAGAAAGAAGGTGGAAGGAGAGAAAGAAGGAAAGAAGGGTAGAGAAGGAAGGAAGGAGAGAAGGAGGGAGAGAAAGAGAGAAAGAAAGGGAAAGAAGAAGGGGAAAAGGAGGGAAGGAGAGAAAGAAGGAGAGAAAGAAGGAAAGAAAGAAGGGTAGGGAAGGAAGGAAGGAGAGAAGGAGGGAGAGAAAGAGAGAAAGAAAGGGAAAGAAGAAGGAGAAAAGGAGGGAAGGAGAGAAAGAAGGAAAGAAAGAAGGGTAGAGATGGAAGGAAGGAGAGAAGGAGGGAGAGAAAGAGGGAAAGGAGGGAAGGAGAAAAGGAAAGAAAGAAAGGTGGAGAAGGAAGGAGAGAAGGAAATAAAAGTGAAGAGGGAAGGAAGAGAGAAGGAACGAAAAAGAGAAAGAGGGAGGGAAGGAAGGAAAGAGACAAGGAAGGATGGAACCAAAGAGAGAACATCAGGAGAGAATGCTTCTGGAACACAGCCATACAGCCCAAAATCTACAACCCAGATGGTGTGTGTGTGTGTGTGTGTGTGAAGGGAGGGGGTTCTTGCAGAGGAGGAGGAAGAGGAGGAGGAGGAGCAGGGTCTTGGCGGGTGCTTCCCTGGTGGAAGGAGATCCCTCCCTCTGTCCCTCGGTCCCTCCGCACTGACCCCCTCCCTCTGCTCCTTGCCTTGCATGGAAGCCCGTGGAGTCCCCGCCCTGACAGGTAGAGGCTCGGGAGGCGCATCATGCCCGGGACGCGGCTGCTGCTCCGCCTGGCTCTGCTCTGCGGAAGCACGCAGCTCGTGGCCCCTTCCCGAAGGCAGAAGAGCCGGCTGGGCCCAGGGAGGCAGAGGACGAAGCAGCCCCAAAGCTGCTTCGCCCGCCACCTCCTCCCCTTCTCCACACCCCTCAGGGGGCCATATCCGGCCTGCGGGTCTTAGTTTGGGGACCCCTGCTCTACGTCTTCTAGTGCATTGGAAACTGAAGATAGAATTGCACTGGAGGACTCACAAATTCCTAGATAATTGTCCTCTCTAGAAGACTCTAGGTCTTCCAGTACAACACTTATGTTCAACTTCCACTGGAAGCATCACATAGAATTGCACCGGAGGACAACTAATGCCCAGATAGTTGTACCTTCTAGAACGTGGTAGGCCTTTCGACACGAGGTTGAAACGGATTGCAAACTTTGTAGAGAACCAATCAGGCAGAACTGTCTGTTGCTGCTACCTGACCTGCCTAGGCACAATCTCACCTGTAAATGGTATATTCATTGGGAATGCCAGAGGAGGGATCGGAGCCATTGCGTTTCCCGAAGTTGCCCGTCCACAACACGGTGTCGTTGTAGATAACAATGGCTGACAAAGCGGGCAGGCCAGGGCTTCGGATTTTGTGGCGGAGAAGCATGTCCACCTGCAGAAGATAAGGAAGGAGAGGAGTCAAAAATTTCATTCGGGCAGAGCAAGAGTTGCAGTTGCCGTGTGGCGTTCGTGACCCGCGGAAAGTCTCAGCGCCTTTTACTCTCGGTGTGATAAAAACTCAAAAAATACACGCGAGTCTGCTGCTTTAAGTAGAAACAAAAATATAGTTCTGTTCACTTTAGATCAAAAACACAAAGCAAAACAGAATTGCTCTCATCGATATACGGTGTTCCCTTGCTACTTCGCAGTTCGCTTTCCGCGGACTCGCTTTTTCGCGGGTTTTTTAAAAAATTGAATTTAAAATATACAGTAGAAGTAGCGAGGGAACACTGCGCTCTGGATGCTGATCTTCTTCCCTCTGGGAGTGGCTCTTCTTTCCTCCTTGCCCTCTTTACCTTCCTCCTCCTCTTCCTTCTCCTCTTCCTCCTCCTCCTCTTCTTCCTCCTCTTCCTCCTTCTCCTCCTCTTCCTCCTCCTCCTCCTCCTCCTCCTCCGCTTCCTCCTCCTCCTCTTCCTCCTCC